AGATGTTGTTGGTTGCTAGGCAAGGCTTAGCTGGTAGTTTATTCAAATTAAATTTTGCCCATACTGTCTGAATCCCACACACATGAGGAGGTAATAATGCAGCAGATTTGTACTGCATGAACTTGCTGAGCATCACAGTGGTTATACTTTAGGTGCTGGTTTTTTGTGTCTTGCATGTGTTTCATTTATGCTTCAAGTGAATGGTAAAGTAGGTAGTACCTTCAGGCTTAGTACTTTAAAGGCTCTACAGAGGGATCTGGACAGGCTGGATCCACGGGCCAATGGTACGAGGTTTAACGAGGCTCAGTGCTGGGTTCCACACTTGGGTCACAGCACCCCATGCAATGCTATAGGCTTGGGGAAGAGTGGCTGGAAAGCTGCTCAGCAGAAAAGAACCTGGGGGTGCTGACTGACGGCCGCTGAACATGAGCCAGCTTGTGCCCAGGCAGCCAAGAAGGCCAGTGGCATCCTAGCTTGTATCAGAAATAGTGTGGCCAGCAGGGCCAGGGCAGTGATCATCCCCCTGTGCTCTGTACTGGTGAGGCCGCACCTTGAATCCTGTGTTCGGTTCTGGGCTCCTCACTGCAAGAGAGACATTGAGGTGCTGGAGCGGGTCCAGAAAAGGGCAACAAAGCTGGGGAAGGGTTTGGAGCTTATGAGTCTTATGAGGAATCATAGAATAGAATCATAGAATCATAGAATAGTTAGGGTTGGAAAGGACCTTAAGATCATCTAGTTCCAACCCCCCTGCCATGAGCAGGGACACCACACACTAAACTACACAATCTAGCTGATTCCATGATTCTATGATTCAGTATGTGCAATTATCTAGACAAATACCCACAATCTTAGACTAGGAGACTATGACCAGTATAATGCACAGAAAAGATGGGACCAAGCACTAAGGCAAATACATTAACCCCTCCTAAACCCATCTGTCCCTGAGTTATTGACCTGAAACACCTCTCACATTTGGTGAAAGGTAGGATCTCATTAGCCAGAAATTATTAAGTGCCTTTTAGTGAAAAGCAATGCCTACCAATAATGTGTAGCAGAATACACATAAGTGGGCATATATATATATTACACACACACATATATAAAGGGGTCTGTGTGCATGTAAGTGTGTGTGTTTCTATGCATATGTAGTATATGTGTTTATATATACATATATATATATATAAAAAATGTAAAGATTCACAAACTTCACAGTATATAAGGAAAGCAAGCTTCACTTCAGGGATAAACTGCTTTTGAGCAATTTCTCCAGTGCATTAGGCATCCGCATCAGACATGCATGGTTTTTTTTTTTTGCTTCATTTCTTCTTTTCTTGGGCAAACAAGTTTACTGTGAAAAATGTAAAGAAAAATATCTCTCCCCTCCCTCCTTCCTACTGTTAGAACAGTGATCATGCAGTGCAGTCTTGTTCCACAACTATAACTGTGTTTTCTCATGTGCAGCAGAATCAGTGCTACGGAGTGCTTAGTCACCTTCCTCAGTCACCTTCCAAGAGCAGAATTTTCTCTTGACCATTGATTTCCACCATCTTATTGTGTTCTTGTCCTGTGGTCTGGAAATGAGCACTGACATCTCTCACACAGAATACCAGGAAGCTGCTTTTTAGTACATCTGCTGTGGCCACGCTGCAAGGAGGTACACGAGCACCAGTTCTGTCCCATTCTGTTCAAAAAGCGTATTCGTTTTGAAGGGACTGTCTAGGCTTCTTGGCTTGTACAGCATAGAGCACACTGTTAGCACTTAAATAGTAAGAAAAAGCCATTTGTAACATAAATGTCATAATAAGAATTCTTCCCCAAAACACCAGTGTTTTATTTAAAACATAATTTTAAATTGAATATAGGTTTCTCTTTAAAGTAACCTGATTTAAATTAAATATGAAATTGAGAGACATAATGTAGAGAGTTGTGATTGGAATTCAAAGCCTAAAATGCAGAGAAAAGAAATGAAGTGAGCCTGAATCTAATAATTTTAAACTTTTTAAGGAAACAGTAGCCATAGATAGTCACATATATTCACTATCTACAGATAATGCTTCTTTTTCATAAATAAAGATTTTTTTCCTTAGGTATTCTGTTCATTTATGGTAGTTTTGCATACATTATAAAATTCCACAAAAATGTACTGCATGGATTTAAATGGAATTGGAATGTTCCAATAACTAGAGCTTGATTGATATCACAAATAAAAAGTAATAATTCATTAGATAAAAAGTACTGACACAGTAGAAATGTAAACATGAGGAGCCTGAGTAAATCAATATAATTGTTTAATTGCACATGTAAGTTTGTGTAGGTTCAGTATAACCTCCAAATTAACAAACTGAAGTGCTGACTAGCACACAGAAGGAAACTGGTTACAAAACAGTGTCTTAATAGTTAGCAATTAGTAAACCCAGCATTCCTCTAGGATAATAATTAAACTGTGCATGTATAAACCAGTTAAAATTGATTTAAATCACTTGGATGTAAATCTGTCTGTCTTGAAATGAAATAAAAGTTTGTGTTGATGGAATTCTGTCACTGCAATCCACTAAATCAATTCACATCAGCAAGCAGTACGTGGGTGATGACTGAGACCTACCACACGACTCTGTGTGTCTTCAATTTGTAATATTTCTGTATATGAATCAATCTGGTAGATGGTTCTGGGGAGGTTCTTCATGCTTATTACTGAAATACAAGTTGAAATTTGCATTTTGACAGAATCTGTATAATCACTGGAAACTGATACTGTTTTGGTAAGCTCTTCAAAGCTGAGACCATATGTTCTCCTTCACTTTGTAGCATGCCTAGCTCACCTATAGGTACTACAACACCACAGACAATGGTAAGAGCTATTATTGTTCCTTTGAGTATAGTTAGTAACCAGATGATTTAAAGGCAACTACCTCCTATTTCTCTCATAAACACAGAGTTCCAGAAGTTGCATTCAGTGTGAGCCTGAATAGTTCTTTGGTGAACAAGATCTCTAGGGAACCAAACCCTTCCTTCCAGCAACTAAAGCTTTAAAACATCAAGTATGGCCTGCTATTATCATATAAGTGTGTTTTGATTTCCAGTATGTAATATTGCTGTAAATAGTGCTACAAGCAGATCAAACCACGGCTGATCAGTGATCCTAACGGTCTGCCTGCATTACAGAGCAACTGCAGTGTGAATACATATGCATGTGTTCCTGCTGCACCTCAGCTGTGAATAACAGGAAGGTACTACTAAATGCTGTAAGAGCCTCCTAAGGACGGACTGTAGCAATTCTAGAGAACCTTGTCAAATACTGTACAGTCAGAAGGAAACATGAAGTGCCTTTGTTTGACTTGGCTGAGACACAGCGATACTTTTGTGGGTTGATTGGACAAAATGTCAGTTCACATACTGATTTCTGTCTCTCAGTTAAGACAGTGAAATCACCTATACTCCCATGAGAACACAGCCATTGAAATAAGGCAGCACACACTTTACATGGATTAATCATGTATCTCTTCGTGTCAGCTACAAGCTTTACAATTTTTTATTTTTTTTTTTTTTTCCACAGGTCTAGCTTTCTTTCCAGCCAGGATGAAGACAGTCAGTAAATGCAATCTGCTGTTCTGGAAGGAACACTGAGAGCATAAAGAGAATGGAATAATATCTCAGCTAGAGGGCTCCATATATTGGTGACAAGGTACGTTATACTGAGAAAGAAATAGAATTAGAATTGTTTTAAGTACCTATGAGCCACACATAATACTAGGAAGGAAATAACATTTTCTAAATGCACAACACTGTGCCAAAAGTTCAGGTGAAAAATCTTTACTTGAGCACAGACAGATGGGAAGATGAAGGAAAGATGGCATTGGAGATAGGCACTATTGTAATTTGAGATTATTAGAAAGCTCCTAGCAAAGCTCCCAAAGGGCCCAGTCCTAAACACTACCACAGAATTGATTGTACCGCTGATAAAAGAGTAAATTTTTGCATTTCCATGCAAAAATCCACTAATCCATTAACAGACTTGCTTCCACTAGTCAGAAGACACATTTGAGGGTAAATGGAAGTATATGTTGGGATGGATATTTTTTGCCTATATTTAGCTCTTTTCCTCAAAAGAGATGTTAAACAAAGAGACAAAGGAAACAAAGTAAATGTTGCCCCTTTCTGAGCTGTTCTGTGCTGTGCTTTTAGTACATAGGCAGGTGATGGTGAATAAAGAACATTTCAAAAGGCTGTGGCAGTAAGGTAAGATTTATCTGGGCAGTCAGGACTGTTCTGAATTGCAGTTGGCATCAGTACAAGAAATATTTGGAGATTGTTGTTCCTGGACTGGTCTATGGTCGGGTGTTAGCTCTAGTGTGAACATACTCCAGTTGTGTGTATGTGTGGAGATTTGATTACCCATTTAATCCCCAAACATATCAAGCTGCACTCTAGGCAGTGGATGGAGCTGCCACTCACTGGTTAAGTAAAATACTGTTTTCTGTTTTAACTGATCTTAAAATCCAGATGTTGCTACATTTGTGGCTTTTTTTTTTCCTTTTGCTTTTTCTTTTTTTAATGTGGGGACTGAAAATGAGGTACAGAGGTGCCTTAGTAAACAGATGCACTGATAAGACAAATGCTAAATACATCCACTAAATTAGCAAACTGCTGAAATTTTGATAAATCTTAATAAAACCAACTTTTTTGCAACCAAGTTTTGTCAGACCTCACTATTTTTTACTACACAAAATTCCCATTGCCTCTGAGTGGAACCTGCTTGAATGAAAATGGAGGAAATCAGGTGAGAGATGGGTGTTATTTAAACAACTGCGGCACATTATATCCTGCCCTAAGAAATCATTATAATTCAATAGATGTGTAATGTTGGTTCTTAAGTGTAGCTTGAATTCAGTCTATCAAAAAGGCTTCTGCCTATTCTGAATGTTTAAGTCACGTCATCTTTCAACTTAATGAACCTTTAATATCAGCCTGCCACTCTGCAGAATATCTCAGAAGTTAACTACTTACATATACATGGGCTGTAGCTGTAAATGAGATGTCTTCTGTGGACCTTGATAGCCGTAAGAGTCAAATCCACCTATGAAATCAACTGGAAGGGGGAAAATTGCTTTCATTAGAAACATCTTTTCAGAAGTGATAGGCACTATGATTCAAGAATCACCCAGCACACAAATTATTTTTTGGCGGACCCTTTAATAATCAGTTAAAATTAGACCAGCTAATTGTGGGAATGCAGAACAAGTGTAAAAATAGCAGAGAAAGCCAAAGTCACTTTTAAAATTTTAAAATCAAATTAATTTTAAATTCACAGAAAGACAATGAGGGATTTATAACAGCCCTCTGTCTATAAGAAATATCCACAAATCCTTCTCTTTTCAAGTAGAACACCTCACTGGAGTACAAACCAAGATGCTATTCAGATATTACAAATGCTGAAACCCATTTATTTACCGGCATGAATGCATTGCTTCTGACTGTGATTACTCTGTCTGGCTTGCTGTCATACTGTGGTTCAGTGATGTAGAGGAGAGAGCACATTGTTCCGACTCTGAGAGACAGAAGTTTCTCTGATTCCCTGCTTTGACATTTGGGTTGAAATGCATGAACAGAGGGTTGGAACAATTTATCTGAGCTTCAGAGATGAGGCTTTGCAGATCTGAAGAAACCAGCATTCCTCCCAAGGCGCTGGAGGTCTGCAGGAAGGTTGTAGGGTGAGAGTTATTTACTAATTCCCACCACTGCCAGTTCCCCATGGTCTTCTCATGTTTATTTTAAACAATTTTCAGGGCCATTCAATCTTGTATGAGCTTGAGACCCCTGTTTCTCTGCTATAATGCTTTCTTTACACAGGTAAAAGTGTGGCCTTTGCTTCCTTTGCATCAGGAGACCCAACTACTGGCTTTTGGGGGTTATTTGGGGTAGTTCTCATCCTTGAAATATTGTCTCTTCCATAGCAGATGTGAATTTGACTTTAGTTTGATAGAAAAGGGCCAAAGAGTTAAGGTATGGAAACGCATTTTTCACAGGTCTGGGCACTGCTACTGACAAACCGGCTCTGTGTACATTGAAAGCAAAAAAACCAGAAAAGGTTCTTTGACAGAGGATAGCTTCTTATGGACCTAAAATGCAATAACGTTCACATAAAAATAATGAAATGTAAATTTATCACTATTAGTTTGAGAACTTTCACAGTGGTTGGATTCCTTAAAACTTGCATTTATGAGGTTATTTTATCCCAAGGTACCCCTCAATATGCGTCATGCTTAACCACACTTACCATGCAGTCACAGGCATTCCAGACATGTTACAAAATCAAATTCTTGTCCAACATTTATTTTGCAAGCAAAGAGCTACCAAAACACTAGACTGGACCAGTGCAATATGTCTGCATTGCAATCACAAACATGCCAAACCTGTCACCCACCTTCTTCCCTGGCAAGAATGGCCCCTGAAGAAATAATTTTGCCCATTCTGTGCTCTGTGGTAGCATTAAATATACTCCTATCCCAGAATGATGTGTTACTAAATTAACTCCTGACATCTCTAATGAAGGAGGTTCTATAGTCTCTCTGTGGTGCCTTTCCCTGAGCCTAACTTCCTAATGTCTGATTTAAATGTAATTTCCTGCAAATTAACTACTTTCTACATTTTGCCCTTTTGTCCCTATGGATATAAAGACAAATGAAGGGGTTTTTTTACAACTATTTTTAAGCATTTTCAAAAAGTATTTTCATGCTATCCATCTTTTCTAGATTTAAGCACATGTAGTTCTTTCATTTTTTTCTCACAGTGCATGTTTTCAAGCCTCTACATTTCCAAGCCTGATGATCCTTCTTCAGTCTACTTGTTTTTCTTACAGAGGGGTGCACAAATCAGGACCGATTGGAACAACTGCCATGTAGGCCTTCTGTACATTACTTGAACTAACATGATGGGTTTTCTGCCTTTAATTTTTTAAATTTTTTAATTTGATTTCTCCTTTTCAACAGCATCATACAAATGCTTAATAACTAGATCTTTATTTTTATGTTTTGACATTAACTGTAGTCTAGCCAAGTAGTCCATATTTTATCTGAAGACACTTGATTAATTCTTCTCCACAGGAGTTCTTTTGCACTTGTCTGTACTGAATTTCATCTTCTTGACTTCAAGCCACTTCTCAAGATCATATTGACTTCTAATTCTATCTTCGCAAATGCTCATAGCCCTCCCAGTCTTGTTTCATCTGAAATTTTTACAAATATTCTCTCCTTGATCATCCTTGCTGTTAAGAAAAATAATGAAGAGAATTCTTTCTCTAGCCAAGGTCCTAGTGGGATCCCATCTGAAATGTCATCCCGAGTGGTTGATAACTATATTTCAAATAGAGTTTTAAACAATTCTGCACACAATCTATGATGACTGCATCTGGACTGTATTTCACTGGGTTGCTCCCAAACCGTTCATAGGGTTAAAATCTTGCTAAAATCAAGATAAATGCCATTTCTTGGTTCCTACTTATTGTTTGTAACCATCAGAATAACTTTATTACAATGTGATTATGTCTTTGGAAGCATCCTAAGTTTACAGGCATGGAACAAAAAATTCACTATAGGAATATTGTTGATTGAAGAGCTAGGCTGGGAGGAAACAAACCCATTTTATTCAAATATAAAGACTGCAGCAAAGAAAATAGACATTTTTTCTGTAGCTAAGGTTTGTTGTTCTCTTGACCAGTTTTCTGGTTTTCTGTCATTCTTGACCTCTAACACTACAAGTCAGAAAATATCTGTGTTGGACTCACTGGTGTCAACCGTGTCACCTTATGGATGTTGCTCATATGCATTCGTCCAGCTCTGCATTTCTTGTGCGCTTCCCAAGACCCTTCAAGCAACCGCTAAACCATTATTAGAAGGCTTCAGGCATAGATACTCTGTTTTGTAGTCACAGGCCAAAAGGTCTTAAGGGTGATTTTAGGGTTGTTTTCAGAAAGCTAAACCAGCATGTTAAGAGAAAGATTTCTTTGAGTAAAATGAGTTTGTTGAGCATGAAAGATGCATGCCGAATATCTCTGCATGAATTGCTTTTTTGCCCTGTTGCGCAGAGTAAACACAGACTGTTAACAAGTCAGATTGTCAAGTGCAAACAAGGCAAGCTTGTAGAGACATTTCTATGTTCAGCTGACTGTGGAACTTTCCATGTGTGTAACCAAATGATGTTAGGGCAGAAAGTACTACTGTGACCTTGTTGTAGGCATACAATGGCTTCTTACACGCAACAACAAACTTTGCAAGGTAGGTAAAGGTAGGTAATAGAAAGCGAACTCCAATACAAAAGGATTTCAGTGATTTCTTTGCAGCAAGGTTTCTTGATGGTGGCAGTTTCTCATCACTGCAAAGCCTGCGGTGTCCAGACAGTGCTAAAAGCTCCCTGTGGACTCTGAGCTACTTTCTTTAAGCATGCAAAATGCTGCCCTTTCTGCAGGCATTTTATCCTGGCTGTGCCTGAAAGGTCACTAAAAGTGTCATACGACTGATACATTCCTGGCAGCAGTAACATGAGATGAATAAAACAAGGCTCATTAGCTGAATCACTGCAGAGGATTCCATCCTTAACCTCACCCATCAAACACATTTTTGACTATTCTATTTTACATTCATCTTACATGTCACTGTTATCAGAAGAGGCTCTTTTATCATGGTTTGCTTTTGTAAAAGCACACGTGCAAGTACAAATAAACACAAACTCCCACCCCTTTTGTGGTGGGTTGACCCTGTCTGGATGCCACTTGCCCACTCTGTCACTCCCCTCCTCAGCTGGACAGGGGACAGAGAATACAACAAAAGGTCTGTGTGTCAAGATAAGGACAGTGGCTCAGCCTTGACCAGTGGTGCATCTGTCTTGGAGCCAGCTGGTGTTGGCTCTATTGGACGCAGAGGAAGCTGCTTCTTACAGAAGCCACTCCTGTAGCCCACCCCTCCTACCAAAACCTGGCCAAGCAAACCAAATACACCTTTGAAATATTAGGTGCTGAGATGCTTATTTTCCTAGCTGGACTTGAATATGGTACTAGCATGTATGATACTAGCAGTACTATTTATCTGTAAAATGTATTACAGAAATTTAGCTGGAGTGTTTTCTTCCTTTGCTGGTGTTAAGGGGCTTGTCAGGCACATGACTGTGGTTACAACTGTGACACAGACTGGAGATACAGGTCAAAAATAGAGATATATTTTCTATTACTAAGCACCCACAGTGATGTGAAGTTTCAGCCTCTGCTCACAGGCACAATCCCTTCTGTCTCTGGTGTATATCAGGACAGAATAAGAAGCATAAATGGGTTTATAATTTTTCATTTCTGGAAGTTTGTGGTGTATAGAGGGACCATTACACTGAGATGCACAAAAAAGACCTCATTAGCATATGGGAGAAAGGACTTTCTAGAAAATGGGCAATAAGAAACACTGAAGCTGATGAAATCAACAGATGGACAAAGAGAAAGTAAACAGTGGGAAATAAAAGCAGTAACATCTTCCTGTAGAAAGCAAAAGGAAAGATACTGAATAGAAACCAGAAGACTACACACTATTCTACTTAGAGAAATTTTCATCTGTAAAATACAAATACAGAAGCACACAGATTCAGATCCTCAGCTAACACATATATTTACAGCTTCAGTGACTTCACTGAAGCAATGATAATCTACATTAGCTTAGGATCAGACCCATGAGTGATTTAGGGCATATGTGTATAGAAATGTCACTGACACTGTGTCTTTCTTTGCATTTTAGTAGACATGCAAGATACGTAAGTAGACAGGCTAGATATGAAAGCATACAGAGTTTAGGAATGGGGAGGGGGATGAGTGGCTTTATCTGTAAAGGAAGAGAACGGTTGGAAAATAGCCATGTACTTGGCCAACCTGTGACCTGCAGCATGGATGACTTCTTGACTTCTTTCAGACCCTCTCCTTTGTTTCTTTGCTATTATTGTTTTTTTTGCTGATTAGCTTATCCCTATGCCAGATGCATGAGGCCCTGCCTCTCACAATGGTGAACCTACTGTTAGCACTCAACCCTTCCTTCATCACCACATCTGCTTCCTGCCCGA